TTTTTTTTTTTTACACCCAATAATAAATTATATAAAAGAAAATAGCTCTCTTTTTTTTTTTAATTCAAATTATCATTCAAGTATCTGAACTATCATGATAATGCATGCTAAAACTAAGGAAAATGTTTTACAATTAATGGCCTGAAGTCTCACTCACAATTCTTTATTAAGATAAAATTAACATACATTTTTGCTAATAAACAAAACCCACGTGCATCATTCACTAAACACACTTTTTTTTTTCTTTAGTTTGAACGATCAGCATATTTATAAGCTAACTTTATATATTTTGATTTCATTCATCTTTAAAAACACTTCATATTGACTTATTACATTTATGAAAATTTTTTTTTAATTCTAATCTTAAAATTTAAAATTTTAATCTAATTTATGAAATGATAGTTAATTATTATTGGATTTAAGTTGGCTGGATCTACAGATAGTTCACACTTACACAGAGGCGGGGGCGGGGGCGGGGGCGGTGGCGTAGGCGGAGGCGGAGGCGGCTTTGGCTTTACGATCTCAATGCTCTTGATGCATCCACCACCCTTGCATAACTTGTCCCTGATCTTCTCCGGCGAGCAGCTCACCACCTTAATTGTCACCTTGTTTGCCTTCTCATCATACGTCTGATCTCGTATTTCTTTAATTAATTTGTTCACAACACAACGACTCAGTCCATTTAGCTGATCAATTTATTCATATACGTACGGAATTATATTAACAAAATTGCAGAAAGAGACTCACCAGGAAATTTGCAGACAAGTTTCTTGCCCCTCTTGTAGCATTTTTAGCGCTGTAGGTCCACATTCACCACCATTTTTGTCACCTATAAATATATATATATATATATGTGTGTGTGTGTTTAGATATACAATATATATCATTGAACGTAGATCACCATATATATATATATGCCATGCATGCAGAGAAGGAATTGAATTTAATTTCCGAAAAAGGATTAATTATGAGCAAAATTAAAATTAGGGCGCCATATATATGCATCAAACCAAAATACACAACTATATATATATATACCCTTAATTTTCATCAAGAGACGGAGGTATATTATAACAGCCACAAAAAAGAAAGAAAGGAAAGAAAAAAATGGAGTAATATAAATTTAGCGCGAACCTTCTCGGCCATGGATGCTATATGGAGAGAATCAATCAAGGCAAGCTGATTCTTAATAAATAGGGAGGGCAGCCCTGGTCTGGTTTCACGCACTAAGATTCAATTAAGTACGACAATGTTAGTTTTTCCACAAGTGGGTCTAATCAGGTCAGTCCTTTCCTTTTCATGTGCTGACCTTCTCATATTAAAGCTAGTCAAAATCCTCCCCTAATAACTACCCTAAAAAATATAACTCTAATTACATATCAAATTCCTAAACTACACTGGATTAATTTAGAGCCTCAATTAGTAAATGTTGTTATTGTTGATTTTTCGTTTAATTTGGTTGTCAAAAAAAAAAAGAAAAAAGAAAAGAAAATTGACTTCAAATTAAGAAAAAAAAATCATTTTGTTATTAATTTTGCAAGCTTGTACCCAACAAGATGTTGACTTTAATTTTAAATTTAATTTAACCTTAAGACCTCAATTTTTATTATTCAAAATTTGGCAATGTATATATAAAAAAACATTTCTAAAAGGGCCCTTAATTGTTGTTGAAAATATTCAATGCCAATGAAAAGCATAATATTGTCACAAAATTATAAGATGAGTTAAGTTGGTTGTGAATTACTTAAACTTGTCTTGAACTAAATTCAACATGAAACAAGCTTTCACAAAGTGATTTTACGATGATGAATGTTAAATTTTTCAGTCTTTTAAAAGCAATAAGTCAATCATAGATTTATTAACCATTCTTAACATCAATGGATATATAATTAGTAACTATCCTTTTTACTTTTTCTACTAATTAATGCTTGAAGTAATAAAAGTACTTATTAATCATCAATAATAATTTTGTTTTTAATTTCTGTATACAATCGTAAAGTTAAATGTTAATTTTGGTCCCTTAACTTTACAATTTTACATAGTTTTAGACTTTCAATTTTTTTATGCATTTTTTTTTGTTCCTCATCATGTTATAGGTTTATAATTCCATATGTCATTATACTATAGCATTTTCTAATGGTAGTATAAACATTATTTTAGTTCTAACTAAAAAAAAAAAATTATCTGCCTACCAAGAGTCATGCGTATGATGAGAGCTTTTCCTTTCGTTAAAAACAAAAATTTAAATGCAGAAAGAGTTAAAAGGAAATTCAATGATCACACAAACATAGAATCATAAAGGGGAAATGATCTTTTGATCTTCGGCAATTCAATTCATGTGCCTATGTACGCACAGTCTTAATTTGCTTTGTTTGGAAACTTCAATCCTTCACTTTATATCCATAACAGTTAAAACACTATCTTCAGAGATAACTTTGTTTCTCATATTAATTTCACTTTACTAGTATTTTGCTGCCTAATTAATCATATTAATTAGCGAAATTTGGTGAAACCCAAAAGTTTGTAATTCTTAAATCTACTTTGCTTAATCATGAATAATTATGAGTCCGAAAAGCCGTCTATCATTTAATTTACAATTTCATGGAAGTAGGTATAAAATTCAAAAACCAATTTAGAAAGGTTAAAGGAGGCTATCTACATAACAATTCTTCATCACCATTCACCAACCTAATTAGGCATCAACACATTTACTTAATATGATTCCCTCTTTTTACTTCTTTTGTACAAGATGGAGGCCCAGGTCTGTCCTCTTCTTTTCATTCATTACCTTGCTTTCCATTAATTTATGTCATGCATATTTGATATGCTTTAATTTATTTTCTTGAAGCTATATATAATAATGTAAAATGCTGCTTAATTGGTACAAAAACATGAATTTCCATCACCTCAAAATAAATAACTACACCTTGTTCAAAAAGAAAAAAAAAAAAAACTACACCAAAACCAAATCAACAAATTGTACACATAAATACTGTTATATATCCTGTCTATTTTTTAACAGGGGAAAAGTTGTGGTCTTGTGGCAAAGGGTCATTTCAACCCACTGTTTAGTGGGGTTTTTGACTCTGACCTATCCAGATGTACCAACGGATTGAATCCCTCAAGAGCATATGGTGCTGTTTCTTTCATTGCCTATTTTCCAAAAAAAAAGATGATGCTGTTTATGAAAACACAAACCTTTAGAACGCTTGGGGCAACTTGGAGAGAAGGAGACAATACGAGAAAGATGTGAGTTCCCACCCGTTGCGGAAGATTACTGCCCCCCACTTTCTGAGGAGGGCTGTTATTGGTTGACAGTTGTTAGCAACTCACAATAATATTTGAGCAAAATGCGCCTCACCAAATGTGCATATTTCAATAAACGGTGACCCATATCCAATTTTATATGCATTTTTATATGTATATTTTTAGTCTTTATATATATTTTTTTAATTTTTAAACTTTATAAATTGAAGGGCTAAAAATATACATATAATTGTAACAGATTTAATAGACTAACTTTTAGAAAAATTAAAAAGATATATTTTTCATAATTAGGAGATTAAAAAAAATATATAAAAAAGTTAAGATATAAAAACTATGCAAAACTTTAAAATTGAGGGACTAAAATTAACATTTAACCTTAAAAAAATTAATTTATTAATTAATTGATTTTAATTTATTAATTAATAAACATCAATTGTTCTACTTGTTATATTACTTAATAATTATAAATATTAACAATTTTTATCAATAAAATTAAATAGAATCAATACTTTACACCTGCAGCTTCAACTGCCTTTGTTAAGGTGTATAAATCTCTTTACAAATGCCAATATTCAATTCGCTGCAATAAAAGCTATTATCCCCCTTCCTTTAAATTCTCCATGTTAAAAAAATAGAATCAATATTTTCAAAAATAATATTTTACAATTTCTTGTGATCTTAACATTTGCATTTGGCTAAGGGTGCAAATTCTACTCCAAAAATTATCGCATTGAAACAAATCACTGGTTAAAGAAAATGTTGATGTAATTTATTACCTTAAATTTTTATTTTAAAAA